TCCAAGCAGCAGTTCCCTGAGAAGTAAGTGGTGATTCCCTGAAGAGAAGAAAAAAAATGTTCATGAGCCATGTGTTTTCTTCTTGGATCAGAGAGGCAGGTCACCTGCGCTGCTCACTGGAAATCTGAGGTGTGGCAATGGTGTGGTTGGCAGCCAATCTAAAAACACCAGCCTATCAACAGTCGGACCTGTGACTTGAAAACGTTCTAAGTCTGACATGAGTAACACTTAATAAATTAGAACAAGAAATACCAGCTACAGAGACAAAACAACACTAATGCCAGCCCTAAAGCAGTGTGCAGAATTTAATGAATCAAATATGGCAAGTCTTGAAAACTTGATAGAGAAATAGGCAAACATGATTTCAGTCCAAGCAGACTTGAACTCTGCACTGAACTCCCACCTTGTCGCCCAGCCCCAGCTGTTTCTGTCTGTCTTCCAGAGAGTAGAGAAGACACGAGCAGCTGTTCCACAACGCCTCCATCTCAGTGGGCTGCTCCTGAAATGCCTGGCTGGCCATCACCAGAGCTTTCAGCTGGTCCTAAGTGGACATACCACAGATGAAGGGGGCTTAAAATGATATTACAGCAGCAGTAAAGAAGCATTATAGATCATAAACACCTCATAATACACCAATGTAATACACTGAAGCGTATATTGACAAGTTTGAGGTGTTTAGAGTTCTTGTAGTATCAGAAGACTGTACTGGTGCTGAAATATGCAGGCCCTCTTACCTTAGGCAGATTTGGGATGAACTTTGTGTCACCAAAAGACTTGTAGTTTCCCATGTTGGCATACAGACCTGCTGCATACACCAAGAAGGCCTACATGTGAAAAACAAGAAAAAATAAGTATTCTAATAAGTATTTTAAGTATGTGGCACCAATAATACCTTTCCATGTGTCTGTATTTGATTGTGGATTAAAGCGTGAGCCAAGACAGGAAGAGAAACAGCCACAGATTACAAGACTGTGTACCTGGTACTCCTCAGAGCTGAGTCCAGCTGCCGTGGCGACCTGTGCCAGCTGTGAAGGTGTCTGCTTCCTGAAGATTTTCTGCAGCAAGACAAAGATGTCTGCCGATTCAGGGGACGTCTGCAGCAACACTGCCAGACCACCATACCTGAGACAGACAACGTTTTTCTGATCAGGTGAGATATTGCTTTTCCATTAAAACCTATTGATTTTTTTGTATTTCAATACATTGACCTCAACTTGCAACGTCCAGAGATTAGTAACATACCAGGCGGCACGTGACAGGTAGTGGGCGTACATCTTCTCCTGGGGTGAAAGCAAGCGGAAAGCCTCACCGCAGTCAAGTGCCGAGATGCCAATGTCATTCGGGAGGTAGTACTGAGAGTCCACCATCTTCAGACAGAGGTTCACCGATGATGATAAAGAACTGAATTAGGATTAGTGGAGAAAAGGAGAAAGAGAAGAAAGAAAGTATATGTATAAGTAGAATATGAGAAAAGGAAAACAAGTTCAAGTTAGAACCAACCACACTGGCTGTTGTTTTTTGACACCATGAGCTCTGCCTGTCTGCAGAAGGTTCAACAGCCCCTTGTACAAACACGCATATCTTAATCTAGCATTGTGGAAATATCTCATAAGTGTACTCAGCAGTTGCCAGTTTATTAAGTGACATAGTTGTATTAATGCAGTCTAATACAACAGTCATGGAAATTGTAGTAGTAGTGTTTTTAATAGGTGTTGACTTGTTTTAGATGCCGTTGAACTTTACTGAATTACACAGTGAGCTGATTCTGATACATATACACTGAAAACTGGATAGATACAAGATCAGGTACCAAGTCATAATCAATCGTTCAATGACAAGTCACTTTCCACTGACTAATCTAACAACAATAACGCTATTTCATCACTAATACTGATTCATTCATGGATTCTGATGTTTTAGAAATATATATTTGGGGTTTTCTCATGGTACTTGACAGCTCTGAAGAGACAGAATATGAACTGAAGTGTTGACACTGTTAGGATCTAGTTACAGCATGAGGAGATAAGTTAACACAGAAACTGGACCCAGACAGAAGCCAGACACCCGCTCACACATGTATCCAATAGAAATAAATGTTTCTGATGAGAGTCACCGACAGGTCGACAGCAAATCACCGCAGCCGGTTTCTCTTTCACTTTTCATTCAAACCAAAAATGAGAACAAAGTTGCAGAGAATGAGCCGCAGGCCGAAAGCAACGTGTTTACAGCCAAGAGTCTACAAACAGCAGGACAAGAATAAAACCTCACATTAAAATAAATGACGTTTGGACTTCAGGCTCCTGCTCAGCTCAGTGTTAACATTAGCTCCTAGCCTGCATGCTAAGCCGGCTGCTGAGTGTTCGTTTAAACGCACCAACCACGACTTCTGTGATCGAAACATCAGGCGGCAAACACAATCTAATCACTTTCTGTACCCGACCGGCTGCTACTCGATGTACAAACAGGAAGAAACGTGCAAATCAACTCAACAGCTTGTTACCGTGTTTTCCTCGAAGAGCTAAAGTCAAATTGCAGTCTCACGCTGCACACTTCCTGTCTCTAGTCAATGCCAACCCCGCCCCTCGACCAATCGCAGCTCGGGTACTTGTGATTGACAGCAGATTTAAACCAGTAGCATCGCCGGACTGTTTGAATCGCATCGCAGCGAAATATCCCGATAAACAGTCAACGTCAAACACGCGAGGTGTAATGTCGGCACACCATGATACTATTACAGCCACAAATAGGAATACTCCCTCTGGCAGAGATAAATAGTACCGTTTGGTGCACGTACGGACACGAGACGAGGTGGCCGAGTGGTTAAGGCGATGGACTGCTAATCCATTGTGCTCTGCACGCGTGGGTTCGAATCCCATCCTCGTCGAACACTTTTTCCATTTTCGGAGCAGCTTCAACATTTTCTCCTTCTAGCGAGACACGTTGACAACAGACACGTGACCCTCCGGCAGCGGTCACTTTATCTTTCTGTGGTCTGGAGCCTCTTCTTCTTATTATCGTCGAGTGTCAAGCGACATCAAGGTGCATTACCGCCACCTGCTGGATCTCCTTCTTCTTACAGCCGTATTTTCTGTCAACCCGAGGTGAGTGAAGACCCGCCTCTTTTGCTTCTCATTGGCTGGTACTCACTTACTCCGTTGGTTGGTTTCTGCTTGAAGACTTGTGATTGGTTAGCGTGAGTGTCGGAAACTCAACGTGAGCCAATCAGATAAAGGGTAGGGGCGGGTCAACGCTCACCTCTTCCTCGTTGAGGCTTTAAGGGATAGTTCACCCAAAACTGAAATTTCGCTCTTTATTTACTTACCTCTATACCAAGGAGCACTTAACCCATAAAAAAACAATCACTCACTCAAAATAGCGCCAAAATGTACTGGACAGATAGTTTCGTGTTGTTCACTGTTGACACTGTTATCTGTGATTGTGTTGTGTTCAGCTGTTTAGTGTCGTTGTTGCTGAAGCGCTGTGTTTTCTCACATCATTGAACGTGTCACGAGTGGGCACTAGGCCGTTTGGACCAATGGTGGGGACGGGATGGCATGACTGGTTCCCCATTGGCCGGTTGTCAGCAGGTTGGGGCGTGAATGAGGAAGTGTTGGGGGTGAGGTGTGTGTGATTGGAGCGAGAGGAAAGGAGAAGTTCGGAATGTTCTCTTGGCGTCGTTACGTCGACAGTAATCTGTAGAAGTTATAGAAAAGTGGAGATAAAGAGAACTGACGAGACGTCAGTTCTCTTTATCTCCACACCAGAACGTTAGTCGATGTGGTATTTTCGTTTCATCTTAGCGTTCATGTCGAGTTTGCGGCGGGGTCTGCTTTGACGACGTCGCTGGCGTTAAACCATCATCCTGGGACTCGACGACTTTTCCAGTCATGTCAGAATTTTCATCTGCTTTTCTTTTACATGACCTGGTCCTAAGCCACCGAACTATTTGTAATTCGAAGCTTTGCACCATACATCCATGCTTTGCACAGGCACATTCCCGAAGTTACGGCAGGGTCACACTTATTTTGACGTAAAACGGTTGCAGTCAGACAATGCCACAAAACAAATATTTTTTGATTTTACATACTAATTGATTTGATATTGAAAACAACACATATATGTAGCAGGTAGCTTGAGAAAAACTGAAATTAAAACACTGCCAATTTTAATTTTAAAACATATGTTACTAGGGGTCGCTCATGGACCACCACTGGTCCGCGGACCACACTTTGAGAAAGGCTGCTCTATACCCATGGAGGGTTGGGTGATGTGTTTTCATCCACAAAACACTTCTGAGTTTCAGGGGTAAACAGCATTACAACCAAATCCAATATAATTGAAGTAAATGTTGACCAATTCTTAAAATGTTAAAAAACATTTACACCAAGTTTTGAGCCTAAATGTCCTCTGTTATCCTGAGAACTGTGAGTATCGCTAGTTTATGTTTTTTTACGTTTGAATAAGTGGTCGCCATTTACTTCAACTGTATTCACGTTTGTTCGATTTCATTCCTCTGTCGCATATTCAAAGGTGTCCGCTCTGTTCCACAACTTCTTCTCTGTAAGCCAACCTATAGTCCTTTAATTTCCTCCATCATTTTCTGTCACTCCAATTCCTGCCACTAACAAGAACAAACAGGGTTAGCCTATCCCTAGGGTTCAGTGCCTTTTTTATTTCTCATGAATTAATTTATTATTTTAAACTGTCAGTTCTTGCAATTACCGGATACACCTGACAGAGGACAAGAGGAAATGGAATCACCACAACCTGGAACATCTGCCACCAAAAAGGCGAATATTCACAATGAAGGAAACTAAAGTGCATTTGTTCCCTTTCCTCCATTTTTTGTTCCTTCTTTAAGAGAAAATTTGGAAAATTCTTCTTTTTTTTACTCACACGGAGCCATAAAGCCATAACCACACATTCTTTCCACACACTTTCCCTTGATTCCGTGTTTTCTTTCATAAGTTAGATAGGCTTACAAACCACACAGTGTTTCGCCAGTTTCATGGTTTTATTGAATTTTAAGAACATGATGAAAGAGTGAATTATTTACAAAGTGTGTGCAGCAGAAAGTATAAAGTTTTCCTTGATGAGGGGGAAGCCGGTCAGCTGTACTATGTCCGAATGGTAGCTTTGATGACCAGTCCTGTACCATAAGAGAAATGTAAACAGACATCTGGGCATTCAGCACATCTGTGTGTGTGTGTATGTGCTTCTTCATTTGTTTATTTTAGGGTTCATGCTTGGGTTTTGCCGTTCCTCCTGTCAGGAGGCGGAGTAGGGAGTACCCAGCGATAGCAGTTTGAGAAGCTCAGACTCTTGTCCACTGCACAGCTGGTGCAGTAGACAATCCCCAAAGCCAGCATCACTACAAGGAACACACACAGAGGCACCAGCAGGGCAACCAGCAGCCAGCTCTTGTCATGTTTCTGTTTACCTGCAGCAGATTCATCTCCCACCTCTGCCGTGCCGCCGACATCCTCTGTACTGTCCATCTTAGATTTGTCCCCATTCCCAGTGGCTGACCCATTTTCAGTCTCACTTCCCACCCCGCCATCAGCCCCTCTACCTCCTGTCTTAGCCTCATTATCAATTTCATTGCCCGTGTTGTATTTTTGTGTGGGGGATGGGGCCGTCTGATATTGCTTTGGTGACAGGGCATCCCATTGGTTCAAGTGATTGTCTCCCCCATGAGCCAGGTCAGGAGAGAGTTCTTCAGGGGCTTCCGTAAGCCACGAAACGTCAAAGTTAGTGTCAGCTTCAAAGTTTGGGTCCGGGGTGAACGAGGTGGACCATGGAATGTCACGGTCAGGGTCCACATCTGGCATGTGAGCCGAGTCGCTTGGGTCAGGGGTCAGAGTGGAATATTCTTCATCATCTGGTGAAGGCAGGCAAGTAAGTCCATCTGACTGCAGGTCATAGCCATTATCACAGTAACACTGGTACCCTCCCATATAATTCAGACACTGTTGCTGGCAGGGCGACTCCCCCACACACTCGTCTACATCTACACACTCTCCTCCACTGCCCATTTCATACCCAGGGTTACACAGGCATGTGAAGGAACCCACAGTGTTTTCACAATTGCCCTCACAGCTGCCCTCATCGAGGCACTCATCGATGTCCACGCACTCACCCTCATCGTCTGGCTGGTAGCCAGAGTGGCAGGTGCAGTGGAAGGTGCCTGGGATGTTGACACAGAGTTGCGGGCATGGCTGCTGCCGACATTCGTCAACATCAGAACATTTGCGGCCATCTGGGCCCATTTGGTAACCGGGGGGGCACGTGCAGCGGATGCCCCGCTGTGTCTCCACACAGTTGTATTCGCACCCCATCTCCAAGCAGGCCTTACTCATGTGGGTTTGGTCAGTGGGACCGGCAGAGTCAGAGGACAACTCAGGGGGGTCAGTTGGGCCAAGAGGGTCGGGCATGCAGCTGTACCCATCTTCATCTATTGTAAAGCCCTCAGAGCAGTAGCAGTAGTAGTCTATATCTGTGTTTTGGCAGAAATGCTCACATCCATGATCCCCGCTACACCAGTCCTGGTTCTTTGGAGCTGCACTGGAAGAGCAGAGTGGGGCATCCCTGGACCAGCCCACTGTCTTGTCATCTCTCTCCATGCACAGTATGGTCTGCTCAGTAGGAGCATCCGGGTCCGAACTGTCTGCAGGACATGGCAGAGCAGCTACAGACCCATAGGGCACATGAGTCAGCAGGCTGCTGACAAGGTGAAATGGGGTGGTGTAAACAGCTGGACCTCTACCCTCGTCTTCTAGTGGTGGACACATTCCTCTATAGTTGTACTGGCAAACGTATCCATCCAGAGGCAGCGCACAGGAGCCATCGACCCACCGGAAGTTGTCGCTGCTGTCACGTCCACTCTCTGAAGTGTGGACAGTCATGGCCACACAGCGAGGGGCAGCACAAGTCCCAGGGGTGTCTTCACGGAGCCAGTTGGTGAACTGTCCATCCTGGTCTCCTATTGGAAAATGAAGACAAAGACCAGGTAAGTAAAAGTGTTATGTTATGTAATGTTATCTGTATGACACATTTAAAGTGTTAATTCTCAGGATTATCACAATTGAAGTTTCCATGTCTAGAATTGAGCATTTGTAGGTCATTGCAGTTCCTGCATAAAAAGTAAAATAATTTTTACAACAATATTATTATTCTGTCATTGG